AATAAGGGTCATAAAGGTCAGAATAAGGGTCACGAGGTCCAGAATCAGGCTCATGAGGGTCAGAATAAGGGTGACGAAAGTTAGATTATGGCTCACGACGGTGAGATTAAGGGCCATGAGGGTCTGATTAAGGGTCATAGGGGTCATAAGTGTCAGAATAAGGGTCACGAGGTCCAGAATCCGGCTCATGAGGGTCAGAATAAGGGTGACGAAAGTTGGATTACGGCTCACGACGGTGAGATTAAGGGCCATGAGGGTCTGATTAAGGGTCATAGGGGTCAGATTAAGGGTGACGAGGGTCAGAATAAGGGTTACGAGGATCAAAATAAGGGTCGTAAGTATCAGAATAAGGGCTTCGAGGTTCAGAATCAGGCTCATGAGAGTCACAGGGTCGAGGGTTATAAGGCTCATAAGTGACACATTAAGGGTCACAGGGGTCAGATTAAGGGCCGTGAGGGTCAGAACAAGGATGATGGGAGTCATATGTGGTTCATATGGGGGTTGACGGAGCGAGCCGGGGACTCAGCCCCCTGGTAATCATAAAAAAATCAATCCAAACTTCACTGAACCCCACGCACAGTAATCCTGTCTCAACCGAGCCGCTCCCACAAAAATCGTAAAAGTCTTCTCAACATCAGTGGAGACGTGAGAGACCCCCGAAATCGCATCGATTGATCTTCCAACTCGAATGAGACGGACTTTTTCGTCGCCCACCGAGTAAATAAATGTTTGTATGTGAGGAAAATATCGGGGCGTCGTTATCTATGCTAACGAGTTGAATGAGGTAGTGAGCGAGGGAGAGGCGCAGCCAGAGGAAGGTGAGTACAAAGGGAGAGGAATGGGGTTGCTCGTAGATTTTCATTTCTCCTGGCTGGTTGGAGGTGGATTACAAAGCTCCTCTACATGCGCCATTCGATGCGCCATTATTTATGGCATTCACCACCGCACGGTCCACTAGATTCTATTCCCGTGAAATACGAAAGGGTTAATGAGGTTAAATTTTACGCTGTTGTTATTTATTTTTTTCGGTTTTACGCTGTGTATGACGCCCCGTGTTAAACAGATTTAATGGTGATTAAGGGAGGACGTTTTCCTGCGGCTTGTAAATTTTTTTTTATGGGTGAGTCGCTGTGTTTATATGGGGTAATGTAACATTGTGAATAGGAAATTTATTAAAATTATGTTTGACGTTGTTTTCAGTGAAATTGCGTGGTTTCGATGCACTTTAATCATTTTTATTTAAGCACAGAATTTATATAACATGAAAAGAGTATAAAATTATTTTTCCGATTGGAGGCTTTGTAATCACTCACATTTCATGAATATAGAGTTTTATAAGCTCCATTCATTGAGAGCAATTAAAATCCAATTTTTCATACACATTCGAAAAAATTGATATTTTTCCAAAAATCGATTTTTCAACGATCACTCAAAAAATTGTCATAAAAATGGAATTAGTCATGGTTAAAAAAATTGATAACAATATCCTCTTGATTCTGTCAGAATATGATGGGAGTTGCACAATTCGTTGTTGAGTTACAGCACATTGTTTATGCGATTTAAAAAAGAATCGGACCGACGTCGGTGGCCGAATGGATTAGACGCAAGTCTAGTGTGCGAAAGGTTGTGAGTTCGATTCTCCGTGGAACCGAATTTTTCAACGGAAGGCCCCGGCGAGCGGGAGGTTGCTAATAGAGGAACCGCCTGTACCGGCATGGGTTTTCTGTGGTTTCCCCATGCTACTTCTATGT